GGCTTCCTGCCCCAGCATTTTTTGTAGTGGATGTGGCCCTGTCAACAGTTTAGTGCAACATCAAGGACATTTTCTTAAAGGGCTAGCAAAACCTTTTTCCTTCCCTTTTCTTCTTTCCTGGCTGAATGTGGATGCAATGACTGGAACTAGAGCAGCCATTTTGGACCATGAAGTAATCTTCGGAATGAAGTCATATTTATAAAAGAGATAAGACAGAAAACCATGGTGTGTCCTTGACCCCATGAAGCTTCCCTTTGATATTTCTTATATTTTTAAAAATTTTTAAATTTCTGTAAAGAGAACAAATTTCACGCTTCATATTCACAGTTTTAAGAGCATAATGATACTTCCCACTCTACTGTTCCTCCCTCCCTCGCCCCCATCTGATATTTCTACAAGGAAAAAAAAGCTTTGTGTTTTGTGCAAGCCATTTGTTATCTGGACTTCCTGTGGCATTAAATAATACCATTTTCAAGGAGCAAATCAACCTCCTCCAAGACATAGGCTCACAGCTTCCTGCTCAGAATCGGCCCCTCCCTCTCCTCTCCTCGCCTGCCACTCTAATGCCGGCCACGGTGCAAGGTGGAGCCGCCTGTCTCCGTGCCCGGAGCAGGCACGCGTGTCTGCTTCCCATGCATCGCTTTAGTCACCGCCACGGTTCCTGCAGAGCCCCGCACGTGTTGGTTGCAAAGCTGCAGGTGAGGAAGTGGGGCTCCGAGGGTGCCCGATCCCCACTGTCTCCGGCTTGACTTTGAATCATGGCCCTCTGCGTCCCGCCGCCGCCCCGTGAGCTCCTGTGCGCCGGGCGCGGCGGGGGCTGCCTCAGTCCTGAGTCCCTCCAGGGCTGAGGACGCCCCACGGCAGGTGCTCCGTGGATGTGTGCTGAGCTGATCAGCACTCAGTGCACCAAGCCCTCCTCCGCTGGGGGGCATCAAATTCCTCTGAGCCGCCGCCCGCCCGCGCTGAGTCTCTAAGGAGGGAGACAAGCAGAGCCCGGCCCTTTCAGGGGCATCCTTGGCCTGTGCAGGGGTGGCCAACCTGGCCCGCAGCACAGGAGAGGGCTACAGGGGGGACTCCGAGACTCAGACAGGGCCACACCCCTGCGGGGACAAAGAGCCCCGAGGACTCCACCCTGGGGCGGAGCGGGGAGTAACAGTCCTCACCCCCCACTTCACGGACCTGGGTTCAAGCCCCACAGCCAGTCTTGAAGGACCAAGGGAGGCCTTGCCCCTGCCCACAGATGAGGACCCTGAAACCCAGAGAGAGAGGAAGTCACTTACTCAAGGGCGCCAGAGCCACAGTAGAGCGCGGATGTCCCTCCGCCCGCCTGCTCTGGTTCAAGAGACCTGGCAGGCGATGGACCTGCGCGCCGCGGTATCCTGAACAGGCCCCGTCAGAGAGGGAGGGCGGCAACCGGCGGAGCAGCCACGCGGGACCCAGCGCCGCGGATAATCCAGGTTCACGCCCCTCCCCGAAAGGAGGGGCCACAAAAGGGCAGGGCCTTGCCAAGGTCACATACTCAGGATGGCAGCAACACCAGCGCTACCAGCTACAAAGGAGTGGGGCGTGCCCAGGCTCCCGAGTCCACCCGCAGGTGGGGCCTGGCCATCCCTCCCCTTTTCCGGCCCCTCCTGGTGACAAGGGCTCCCTTAGAAGACCAGCTTCCCCAGAGTGGCAGCGCTGTCCTGCGCCTGGAGTACCCTCCCCTTTGGCAGGAAGACCACCGGTCTTTCCAGGATCCCGCCCAGGGTCCCCTTTCCAAGGAGGAGCTGTCACTCATCCTCCCCCGGCCCTGTGCCCCTCCCTCTCCTGCACATTAGCTGTCATTTTCAACTGCGGGGGGGGGGTGACTTTATATTAGCGGGATCTGGCTGACCCACTTCAACCAGGGAACGAATCCCAGCGCTACCCACGCAGGACACGCAGAGGGGAGGAGACGCTGTCCCTGGGGCTGAATGCTTGCCTTCCACGTTGAGCCTGCACCCAACATGAAGAATCCAGACTATGGCCTGGGAGCAGACAGGCGAAGGAGGTTCTTCTGTCAGCGCGGCCGTGAGAAAGTGCTGGGAACTTGTGCAAGTCCCCGGGGAAGGCACTGAACGTGAACTTCAGGGTTAATGACCTGGCCTGAAGCACAGGCATCCCATATGGGCACCAGTTCGAGACCCGGCTGCTCCACTTCTCATCCAGCTCTCTGCTATGGCCTGGGAAAACCGGCGAACTCGCCTCTCCGGCCACCCACTCGGCCTAGGGGACTCTACCGACACCTGCGCGGCCCATGAGGGCTGTTTTCTTTTTTGACAAATGTAACAACACACAATGATGGCACCTGTGTGAAGTATCCTGTGATAATTCAGTTCATGTATGCACTGTATGAGGATCCAATCAGGGCAATTAGAACATCCGTCTCCTTAAACATCTCTCTGTGGTTGGAACCTGCAAACTGCTCTCCTCTAGTTCTTCATAAAACATGGCCAGCTGCTGCACGCAGCCGTGCCCCTACCACACCGTGGAGCCCTAGCGCTTACCCCTTCCCGCCATGCCCGCCTCTACTTGGCACCTGTTCCCCAACTGCCCTCTCCATGTCTCCTCCCCCGGCCCGTCCTAGCTCTAATAATCCCAGGGTATTCTCAGTCATCACCCGTCCTAGCTCTAATAATCCCAGGGTATTCTCAGTCATCACCCATCCTAGCTCTAATAATCCCAGGGTATTCTCAGTCATCACCCGTCCTAGCTCTAATAATCCCAGGGTATTCTCAGTCATCACCCGTCCTAGCTCTAATAATCCCAGGGTATTCTCAGTCATCACCCGTCCTAGCTCTAATAATCCCAGGGTATTCTCAGTCATCACCCGTCCTAGCTCTAATAATCCCAGGGTATTCTCAGTCATCATGGTCAGCGTTCCCTCGCACCCAGTGCGATTCCACTGCTTCCAGGTTCTTATGCAGCTCTCTTCCTCCAACAAATCCTCCTCGGGGGAGCTCTTTTTATCCGTGTTTAGAGATGGGGCAAGCGGTGACTTTGCTTGTCCAAGGTCACCCAGGAAGCAAGGGCAGATGGCGGATTCAGAGCCAGGCCTGCCGGCTTGGAAACTCTTGCCTGCCCTGCCCAACACCAGATTGAGTAGCCCGGCTTCTGGGCCTGCCAGGTTGAGATCAGCCGGGGAGTTGAGTTCAAGCGGGCAAGGGTTTGCCTGTTAGTCAGGGCAGGTGCTGTGCCCGCCTCCTGGGCGCTGCAGGCTGGGAACCTGCCCGACCCGCGTGTCTTCGTGGCCTGCTTGGGATGTGGCTGTTGGTGCTTTGACACACGTACAAGAATGCGTCTCTCCGAGCCATTTCCATCTGCGGAGCAGACTGTGTGTACCCATAAAAGACAACAGTTATCTGAGAAATAAAAGCAGGGTGTGGAGCCGCTGTTATTAGATGACTTTTATTTACAGAACTAGGGCACCTGTGGGGGAAGTTGGAAGACCCTGAGCCTACTTGGCCTAGAATATATCGTCCATTGCGTGTTGTCGACCACGGCCAGCCACGGGCTGTAAAGTGGCCGGCACCATGCTTCTCTGTAACCGGGGAGGCGTGTGGCATTTATTATGTATTTTAATTAGTTAATAGTCACTATGCAACACGTGCAAAATGCAGAACTATATAAAAAGCACCTTAATCCGGTGCCCAGAAATGTCCTCTTTTCGGTTATATATGCACAGGCTTACGCTTGACAGTGAGTGCTCACAGCGCCGTCAGTTAGGTTTGCGTGCCGCCGCTTCCAGGCGGAGCCAAGCACGAGTCAGCACCGCGTGATACATCGGATCTACCCCGGGAGAGGCGTGGGGGCGCCGCGGCGCCTCCCCAGTCTCGCTGGGTCTCTTGCTGAGTGTCACTCTGCCGTTCACCATGGCGTTGCAAGGTCGAGGCCCTGGGACAGGGCAGGACAAGCTCCCGAGTGAGTGCAAAGGGGAGTGAGGAAAGGACATAAGGTCTGATGTGGCTTTCGCCCACGTTAACTACCCAGGTCACCGTTTCTCCTGGGAATAACAAAAACACTCAGCGGCGCACAGACGCCGTCAGGACTGCAATCGCCGCAGCAAACACCTCTGTTGTCGTCGGCCCAAAGTTCTCTGGCCTTTAATCCACGTGTTTCTCCATGAAAATTGTTATTTTTAAATGTGGTATCTGAAAGATACGGCTTTGTTAGGAGTTAAAGTAATGAAATGGAGCAGAACACAGGCTCTCTTTATAATACATGTATGTCAAGTCTGTTTACATACACACACATACATATAACCTTGAACGTGAGGATCACACCCTACATAGATATAACCTTATATTTTGCATTCTTCCATTAATAGCACACTGCACGCATCTCCCAGGGCATGAAACATTGCTCCAAAAATGTGGCTTTCCATTTCAAAAGTATTCCAGTCCACGGCTGCGTCACGCATTGTTTATCCACTTCCTAGTCAACAATGTAAGTTGTCTGCAGCCTTGTCTTCCCTGAAACTGCTGTGATAAGCACCACGACGTACGACTCTCTGTCCACATCTCTTGTTTTCTCACAACACATTTGAGAATTGAAATCATCCTGAGTTTCTCACAACTATTACCAATAGCATATTGATATTATCAGTGCTTGGCACACAGCAAGCCGTCATTAATTGCTGTCAATAAAAAGGACATCAAGTTACCAAGAGAGCTGATGGATTCCACCCCAGCAGAGGGTCAGGCAGACGTGGGCCGAGGGCGAGAAGGGAGGGGCTGCACCTGGCCTGGGCCTTTCAGTACCTGGGCCGACAGGACTCTTTCCTACTCGCATAATGCACCGGTCCTACCTTCCCTGTTACCTGTCCAGGCACACCCTTCTTCCCGTCCTCAGAGACCGCAGTGAGCACAGTGCACTCAACCGCGGGTGCTGGGAGGGGAGCTCTGAATGACATCCGTCAACTCGTCCAGAACGTGCGTGCGGCCGAAAACAGGGATCCAAGGACAAGCAGCGCGGATCGCTGGGTTCTCAAAGATCCTTTATTAGCTAGTCTCCCTCGTGGTGGAGAGCCAAGAAGTAAATGAACTTGAAACACAGTTAAGATGAAGACCCCACAACAGTGTCCCCCAGGGGCCTCAGCTGGGCTACACGAAATGGACCACCAGGGGGTTCAAGTTTGCTGCTTACGTACAGGAGAACCCATCAAAAAAGCAATAAAGACACGGAACTCTAATTTCTATTAGGGTACTTGTCCGGCGTGGGCCGTGACAAAGTCGCAAGGGAGATAGATTTCTACTGAAACCCAGAGACAGGAATGCTTACAAGCCCATGAGCGACACCCCTTCCCAGCCCACACGGCTGCCCCTGTGGACGACTGGGGGCCTCCTTAGAATGAGCGTCCCTGGCCCAGACAACGGTGTCGCACGTCCTCAGGGGTGGCCAGTTTCTGCTCTTGATGGAGGGCTGGGTTCCGAACATAGTCTGGAGCTGGCCTGGATGAACACAAGATAACCAAGTGGCTTCTGGGATGCAGCTGAAGACAGCAGCTGTGACTGCTTCAGTAACGGGCCTACTTTGCTTACGTGGCCCTGAGAGCCTTCCCCAAGCAGGTGGCAAACTTCACCCTGCACCAAGTGCCGTGGGACCCAGCACACGGCCTTCCAGGTGAGACTGTGGAGGCCTGGCGTCTGCAGGCTGGGACTCGGCTGCTTGTTAGAACCCGGGTCCAATCCTTTGGAGCTCACTGGGAGCTGCCACAGTACTGCTTGTCCTTTAGCAAAACCAGAGCCTGTCAATGCAAGCTGCATCTATCTTTGCTCTGAGAGGGGCTGGTTCTCAAAAGGCTCTCCATTCCCTGGGGCTGCAGGGAAGGGGAACCAGATTTTTCCTTCCTTCTCTTCAGCCCTGCTTCCTGGCTCACTGGCAGATGTCCCCATGGCCATCTTGGAGGGAGATGTCCCAAGCACCAGCCACGCCCAGGCCAGTCCTGGCTCAGTGGCGTCAGGATGTGGAGCAGCAAGTGGGCAGCGTGCAGCACCTTGCCCAGGGAGACGCCTCCGCAGTGTCCCCGCAGGCGCTCAGACCTGCCCGGGGTCTGCCCGCGGCGTGCCCCCTCCTCCCTGGATCTGGGGGCCCCCGGGACGCGGCAGGCGAGGACGGACTAGTCCTCTGGGATGGGGGTGTTGCAGTTCCCATGGTAGATCTTGACATGACCCTCGCACCGGAAGTAGGCGTCGAAGACGTCACTGTAGCCATGGTCCCTCCACCAGGTGCAGAGCTGCCGGTTCCAGGTGCAGTGGAGCACGTGGAAGAGCTCGGGGTGCTCCATGCCGATCATGGTGAAGAAGTCCTGGTCCCCGAGGTGGCCGCGGAAGCGGTACTTGTCCGTGAGCTGCTGCACCTGCGCGGGCTCCAGCAGGCGGCCGTAGAGCGGGGACTGGCGCATGGCCTCCAGGTTCAGCAGCATCACCCCGCTGTTGAAGCCAGGGAGCCCCTCAGGAGGCGGGCCCCCCACCCTGGTCTTGGGGTTCTCGTGGCGGAACTGCCAGAACGTGTGCCTGCAGAGGAAAAGACAGGGTTAGCCGGGTGCGGGCTCCCTGGCCCCTCTCCCCCAGGGCGGTGGAACCACCGCGTGGGGAGCCCCAGAGCACGCCAGCGTCAGGGCCAGGGCGAGCGCCTGAACCCAGCTCTCCCAGCTCCGGGCCTCTGCTCCTCCCCGCTCCTCGGACGCTGCAATGTCACCATCATTGTCATCGTCCTGAATTTAATGATGGTTTGACTTCCAGCTTTTTTACTTCACAATGGTGCAAATGTGTACCCATGCACCCTTTCTCTTTTCCACTTTCTGCATGACCCTCAGCCAATTACAGGAGCTATTCAACACCTTATCATAAAATGGGCTTTCCGCCAGGTGCTGTTGCCCAGCTGGAGGCTAGTGTGAGTGCTCTGAGCGCACTGAAGGCAGGCGAGGCTGGGCTATGCAGTGCTCCCGGCTGGGCATATCGCACGCATTTTCCGATAGGATTCTGGAGCGGAAACCACGTCTAGGTCAAGGAGCATCTGTATAGATACGGGATGCACCAGGCACAGTACCAGATGGGCTCATTAGCTCCTCACAGCAACCCTAACGGAGGCGTGCTCCGTGAAACGATGCCTCAGTTTACAGCAGAAGGGACTGCTGCACAGAGGGGTTAGGTAACACATCCAAAGTCACACGGCAAGTCAGCAGTAGAGCAGGGGCTGACCCCAGACACCTGGCTGCAACGCCCACCTCCACCACATAGCAACAATCTAGGTGGGACTCCCTTTCCTTTTGGCTTTGTCTGCAATCATCAGAAGAGGGGAGACAGAAACAAGGCTGGAAGCAGTTCTCACTGATGACCTGGGAAAGGCATGCGAAGCTTAACCCAGGCCGAAACGAAACTCTAGAACAAACCTTATTCATTGAAACCCTAAGTTTAGCATTTCCTTTTCTAAAATGTACTTACTTATTCGAAAGGCAGAGTGACAGATGGACAGACAGACAGAGATCTTCCTTTTGCTGGCTGTCTCCACAGCTGCCCACAACAGCCAGGGCTGGGCCAGGCGGGAGCCAGGTGTCAGAGACTCAATTATTTAAACTGTCACCTGTTGCCTCCCCGTGTATGCATCAGCAGGAAGCTAGACCCAGGAGCAGAGCTGGGACAGAAACCAGGCACTCTAGCCTGGGACTCAGGCATCACAAGCAGTCTTAATTGTTGCACCAAACAGCTGCCTAAGTTAAACCTAGCATTTCTGAAGGGCTGGGTGGGCGCTGGGGGCTTTAGACAGCACAGGGCGCATGCCCAGTGGGTCAGGATGAGCAGCAGCTAGAGAGCCCAGTAGGGGTGTGTGCACCTAGGAGGGAATGGCGTCTCAATGCCGATCCAGGGTCACGGGGCAGGGATCCCGCTAGGCGCTCCACCAAATGCCTCCACCTGAGGGGCGGCAGAAAGGCCAAGAACGCTGCCTGTGATGGATGTGGTCGGCTCACTGGCCGCTCTGCTCGGCAGCCTCCTGGCATCAGGCCCTGCATGTGCTGCAGGGGTGCAGGAAGCGACGCAGGGTGGCCCGGAGCCCCGGGGACAGAGGCCTGCTCACGGCAGCGGTGCCGCAGCTGGGAGGAAGGCGGAAAGGCCATCATCACGGGCAGGGGCCAGCTGCGGGAGGGGTCCTTCGGGCGGGGGAGGCATCAAGGCAATGCCCACTGTGCCTCCCAGCCGGAAACGCTGCCCCTCCCGTCTCTCACAGATGCACTTCCCCGACCCGGTCCCAGGACAGGGTCTGTGTGGTGCAGCAGGAATGAAATCACAGTCCCAGCCCGGGTGCGCCATGGAGCCATTCTCCAGCCGCATCGTGCACCCTCGTGGCAAGGACCTTCCTTGAGGTCTCCGCTATGGCAAAGGGCGACGCGAGACTGATCCAGGGGTGGGGGGTGGGGGCAAAAGGCATTTTTTCTGGATGTTCTCACGGCGGGTGGTCAGTGGGTCAGTGTGTGCGCTCTGCCTGCACAGCACTGGGAGCGGAGCAGGGCTGTGGTGGCTACGCCGTGATGACCATGTTATCCGGAGGACACCTGTCCAGCAGAATGCCCAGAGCGCCCTTCCAGCCACAGAAGCCTGCAGTCAGTGAGGTGCCCACCCAGGTTGGGGCACACTTCGGCCACCGTCCCTTTTACTGGATTTCTTCCAAGTGGTTGACGGCAGTGTATACCAGGCAAACCTGGGCCACCACGTGGCAGAGGGGGAGCGTGTTGCCACCCAGGTACTCGGTCCCCGGCTAAGGGGTGGGAACAGCAGCGTTCACCAGGGAGGAGGAGGGAGCAGGGGGCAGGCCTGACCCCATCAGGCCCTGGCTCCTTTTCCCCGTTTCCTGCTGCCCCCTCCCTAGAGGGTCCAGCAGGGGGAGAACTCTGCAGGTCCAGGGTGCTAGGGGCAGTACCGCAGGAAAGAGGAGCTGGCCAGTGAGGACCAGTGGACCAGTGGGAGCAGGTCAGGCCGCACAGCTTCAGTGGGGTGAGGGGGCAGGGCCACGGGAGCACTGAAGCTGCTGCCACGGAGCCTGTGCCTCCCCTGAGCACTGGATCCCCCGCGGCTGGGTGTCTGGTGGGGCTGAAGAGCAGCAAGGAACTGGGAGAGGGCGCTCAGGTGTTGCCAAGGTTTGACTGCACCCCCAAAGACTCACAGGCTAGACACATTGTCACAGAGGCCCAGAGCCACTCCCTCCAGCACTGGCCTGTTAGTGGGAGGACCAGGAGGGCCCCTCAGAGAACCACGGTCCACCAGAGCCCGAGGTATTCAGACTCCCCCAGCCCACGTTCCCATTTTATACATGAGAAAGCTGAGGCTTGAAAACTGTCCTGCCCCAAGTCACACTTCCAAAAAAAAGCAGGCCCACACTCCCGGGCAAATCACCCATGCTTTTCCACGAACCTCTGTGCTCAGCAAAGGTAACCGCCCCTCCCACGCCCCAAAACCGAGCCCTGTGGTGAGGGGAGGTGCAGCTTTGCCCATGCCAGCCTCACAGGAGGCAGAGCGTGGCTGCTTTCCCACCCCTTGCCACGCGCACGTGCTTGCACCTGTTATGGGAGCTGGGCACCCAAACATCCAGCAGCCTGGCGGGGGCAACAGGAGGAAAATGAAGGCGGTGGAAGGCATATGCTTGTCCTTGGTAGGAGCTGCTAAGAAACGGTGTTTGTGTTCGGCCAGCAACTGAGCTGCCAAGCCACCACATCCCAGCTCCTGCACGGGGGCCGGGGCAGCGCAGGCACATGGCGGGAGCTCCCGGGGAAGGCACCCAGCAGAGCTGGCTCCAGGCCCTCCGCCCCTCCAGAGGGAGCCAGCGTCAGGGGCTGTGCCCGCCCCTCCCACCTCTCCCTGCCCTGGAGGCCAGCAAAGCCCCTGCATTACCAACCCTGGGCATCTCTGCCCCCTGCAACCCTGGGAGACCTGGAGGAAGGTCTGGGGTGCAAGGGAGGGAGGAGGCAGCAGCGTGTGCTGTGCCAACGTCCCCGAGTGGCCAGGACCGTGTGACCAACGTGGGCAGGAGCAGCTGTGCGTCTCCACTCCAGGTCCTCATGTTTTGGGAAGAACTTTGCATACATGAAACCACCTGGGAATTTTATGATGCCTCCATAAATCCTAAGGGCAGCTTAATTTTCATGGCATCTCCCCTTTCTAGGTCCCGGATGAAACAGGTGCATCCTGAGACAGGGGGCGTTTTGATGGACAGGTATGGGATAATACGCCTCTGGGGCTTGCAGGGACTTCCAGCTCCCTCAGACCCAGACTAGCTGCCTCGTTACACACATCACTGCAGCCCCCAGCACCTCCCCATGCCCAGCACCAGGGTCCCAGAGCAGACTGGCCCAGGGACGCACACAGCCTGTGTGTTTCCAACGGCACCACGTGGTGGAGAGGGCACAGGGTGAGGCTATGCCGTGAGCCACGCTTGCTGGAGCACTCTCCCAGTGGTGACCTGAGCAGTGGGCTCCTCGCTCCAGGCCCCTCTGTCACCTGGCTGACGCTGCCTTAGCTGAGCACCACAGCTGGGCGGCTCGAAGCAAAGGCGATTGGTGGTCCGAGGGGGCTGGCACTTGGGCTCCTGCCAAGGCCGCGAGACAGGCTCTGCCATGCCACCCGCCCAGCGGCTGGTGGTTTCCATCAATCACTGGCATCCTTTGTGGAAGCATCGCCCCCATCTCCACACGCACTCTGCAGCATCAGCGTCCCTGAGTTTAAAGCCCCACTTCCTGGAGACATCAATCATACGGGCCTCGGGCCACCTCCTCCAGCGTAATCCCTCTTAATTCTTTTTTTTAAAATATTTTTTATATTTTTTTTTTGACAGGCAGAGTGGACAGTGAGAGAGAGAGACAGAGAGAAAGGTCTTCCTTTGCCGTTGGTTCACCCTCCAATGGCCGCCGCGGCCGGCCGGCGCACCGCACTGATCCGATGGCAGGAGCCAGGTGCTTCTCCTGGTCTCCCATGGGGTGCAGGGCCCAAGCATTTGGGCCATCCTCCACTGCCTTCCCTGGCCACAGCAGAGAGCTGGCCTGGAAGAGGGGCAACCGGGACAGAATCCGGCGCCCCAACCGGGGCTAGAACCCGGTGTGCCGGCGCTGCAAGGCGGAGGATTAGCCTAGTGAGCCGCGGCGCCAGCCACCCCTCTTAATTCTGCAAGGACCCCACTCCCAAGAGTCCAGTCTTTAGTAGCACCTGCATGGGGCACAGTTCAACCCGAAGCACCCTCCAACCATGAAGCCAGAGGAAAAGATCACAGCTCACCTCCTCCTCATTGTCCACAGGCTCTGAGGGCCCCTGGGGATCCAGAACTGGGCCCCGCCCCAGGATGCTCTCGATGGACTGTGAGAGAATGAGCCGTCCAAGAGGGTGACAGGGGACAGGTGTCAGTGCTGCCGGGAAAAGCAGAGGGATTGGGAAAGGCGGGCGTGGGGGACCGGCATGGTCGGTCAGCAGAGACGTCCAAAGGCTGCTCCCGAGAGCTGTGGGACACCGGAGAACACACTGGGTGCCAAGAA